TTAATATTAGAATTTCATTATTTTATCATCCTTTATCATCCTTTGGGCTAGCTCTCTTAATTCATCCTTTATGAACTTAATTATAAGATTGTAATCAGATCCTGAGCTTATAACTAATACCAATTTTTGGATGGACTCATCTTTCATTTGTCTTCTTTTTCTTTTTTTATTTTTCTTTGTAGAACTATTTTCATAATTCTTTTTCTTTTCTTTTTATTTTTATAGAGTACATAGTTAATGATTTTGAATATCAAATTTTTCTTAAAATCTTCTTACAATCTTAATAATATTTATGTAAAGATTTAATAAGATTACTATTTCAAATTCATACTGCTTATGATTTCTAATTTTAATCTACTCATATATAATCTTTCAATCCTATTTATTTAGCTTCACTTCAAAGGCTATTGCTTACATGTATAACTTATACATTCAATTTAAGATAATAATTTATATGATATAAGTTTATTAAATATTAATTTTTTCACTCTATGAAGTATAATAAATTATCATTTAAACTATAATCTATGGTTTTATTATTATGCTAACTTTATACTATTTTTAATTATAATTTTTATTATGGTTAATTAAATAATTAGAAATGTAAGAGTTTAACAGAAGGCATTGAAAATAATTGTAAGCATGAGAGAATTTTAAATTAAATGTAAATAAAAGACAAACAATAATAACAAATAATTAACATAAAAAATGCTTTCATATTAATGATAAAAGGTGCATAAAACATGTGCTAAACATAATAAAACATAACACAGGTTACAAGATAACTTGAACAAAAGTGGGTTGCCTCCCATGAGCGCTAAGTATATAGTCTTCATCTAAACTTGCCTAAATATCTCAATTTTGCTAGGGAAGATTACTACTGACCTTTAAATAAATTCTAATAGGATCTTTTTTTGTTCCCTTTAGGGTTTACTTTTGTATTTCTAGGAAAAGATCAAAGAGATCTACTACTCACTGAAATTACAAGCTGACTTAATTGAGTTTCCAAATTTTAAAGAAGCAGCTTGACTTTGGAATTGAGTTCTTAACTGCATTACTACATCCTCCAATGATAATTTTCTATTTACATATTGATTGGTTTGATTAAATCTACTAGGATAAGCTGGTCTTATATTACCATTTGATTGATTAGGATTATTTCAATTCATTCCTTAATTAGTTATACTAGAATTTCATTAATTATTATCATCATTATTATTTGACCAATTAAAATTAGGGTGATTCCTCCATCATGGATTATAAATATTGGAATAGGGGTTATTTTTTCATTCAATCAAATTAATATTTTTAATCCCTTATATATCATTATTTTTAATTAAAGTTTTAATTCTAATTACAGAGATGATTCAAAATTAATTATTTTTATACTCAACTTCTTAGAAATAGATTAAACATGTGCAGTCAAGATGGATAATGCATCATTTTTATAAATCAATGCCACTCTCTTAGGATTCACCCTATTAACTAGCCAATAAAAATCATTGGTAGTCATTTATTCAGTTAATTAATATGCTTCTTTAAATGACTTTAACATTAATGATCCTCTAGCTACAACATCAATTATAACTGTAAGTGATCCTACCAATTCATTATAAAATTTTTGAATAACCAACCAATCAAGTAAGGTATGGTGAGGGCATTTCCTAAGCATTTCCTTAAATCTCTCGCAACCAACTCTTATAAATGGATTCTCCTACAAACTGCGTAAAAAAAAAAGTAATGTCATTTCAAAGTTTGGCAGTCTTTAAAGGTAGGAAATACTTACAAAGAAATTTATGATCCAACTCATTCCATGTGATTATAGAGCCTGGTGGTAAGGAATTCAACCACATTTTAGGTTTACCCCTTAAAGAAAATGGGAACAATATAAGTCTAATAACATCATTACTAACACCACTATAGTCAAATGTAGCACAAATTTTTAAAGAATTATCTAAATGCAAGTTAGGATCTTCAATAAGAGTACCCCCAAACTTAGAATTTAGTACCATTTGAATTATAGTGGACTTTAGTTCAACAGCATGGATTGTAGATCTATTAATACTTTCATGAATTCTAGCTACTTAAGGGTTTGCAAAATCCTTAAGAGATCTAGAATAATTTTGATCTTAAACAAGGCAGCCATTTTCAATTTTTTTAGTTTTTCTAATTTTAGAAAGGGTTCTCTCAATATCAGAGTAAAAAATCAACAATGGTTATATTCTTTGTCTACTGAGCATATAATAGATATCTAATTATTAAAAATATGAATAAAAAAAAAAGATAAAAGTTGGTCTAATTATATAATTAAGTTGAACAATATAGTTAAAATTACAGGAAACAAAATACTTCCCAGAGAATAGTGCAAAAAATATGATGCGGTGGGAGGTTGTAAGTATGTGGAGTAACCTTTTAAATTATGAAATAATTTTAGGGTCTATCAATTTGTAAATGATGCTTAAATTTTTTTTAATATCATAAAATCCCCACTTAATATACACAAGTATATGTATCAAATAAAGTAATATAATAATAGAGTAGAGTATCAATCCCATGAGGAAGTATGCATACTTGTAATTTACTAATAATATTTACTTAATTATAATAATTATCTTACCAAATAAAATTGATGATTTTGGATATTCAATCACTTAAATAAAATTGGCAAACGATAATGGATATAATTTGTGATAAACTGTTTTGGATTGACAAATGTAATTATCATATCTTTCAAGATGAATCTCTTAAATAAATGATGTGGTTCAGAGCATATGCATCTCTAGATGTCTATCGAGCTTGTAGGGGTGAAAATAATATTTGCTAACCTCCAACAATTATATCATCTTCTTAAGAACCTGGCATATTTTGCATCTTATACCTAGGCATGTGAACATACTATTTCAATATTCTTGTATGTGCCTGCATTCCTCAATTGAGGCTATACATGATACTATATTATTACTACACATGTAGCCACCAAATGCATTAAATTAAGAATGGATAATATTAAAAACATAATTTTAATTCTTAGTGAATAAGAGGAATCATTAGTACTTAATATGATTCTTACATCATCAATACAAAATAAGAGAATTTAGCCATACATGAAGTAAAAAATAAAGCAAACTCATTTTCATTGATATCATTAAAGAAAGTAAATATAAGAGATGGTTATTACCAAATTGGTTCAATAGATCTCCTCTACACTCATTCTTACTTATAGAGTTGCTTCCATAAATATAAGCCAAAGACCCTAATGATTGTATCACGTACTTTCCTAAATTCCCTTAATGTTCACTCTAAGAGAGAATCAAAGTACTTTAAAAATTATTAAAATTATATAAGAAAATGAACTCTCTTACAAACATGAAATAATATTTATTTATAGAAAAACACAAATTGGGTAACCAACACTGCAATGCTAAAAAGGTCGGTGATGCAGCACCCATAAATGAACTACCACCTCGGTGCTGATGTTTTTGCTCTGCCACAATGCTGGCTAATGTGGATTAGTTTTAAAGTAAATAGTTGCTTTACTTCACTGGCAAATTATGTTCTCTAACAATTATAACTACAACGCTATGCATTGTTGTCTTTTGAGTGCTACACCAATGGAGTGGAGATTTTGGACTTCGAAACACTGAAATTTGGTGTCGTGGCATGGTGCAAACAAAGACTTAACACTGCCAAGCTGAGATTTTACCACTGTGACACTGCCAAACATAGAATTCTATGCTTCCATGTCTATATTGTGGCACTTGGCGGTGGTAGTGTTTCATACGACACCACGGTGCAAAATGATACTTAATTTTTTTTGTGCCCTTTTTGAATTTTCTTGCACAACACAACTAAAATAACATGTTTTCACTAAAACTATAACACATAAAATAATACATTATTTATACTTATTAATAAAATAGTCATACTTATGTTGCTTGGTGAAGATGTCAATTAAAAAATCTGAAACATCTTCAACATTCATAACCTCTCCTTCAACCTTATCATTCATATTCTTATTCATCAAATTCAGATCTCATTCATCATGAATTCCTAAGAATTTACTGCTCCTCAAAATAAGGTCAGATGCAGATGATTCACCATTACCCGAATTCGCATATTCAAATTCTGGTAAGCACGGCACCAATGGGTTCTTGCCCTTCCCTTCCACAAGAAAATCTTTCCGAACCAGAGAATCCTCTCTCCCGGATTACCAAAGTCGAAACATTCTTGACCAGTGATAATGATCGTAAACCAACATTCTTCTGAGCAATACCGACGCAAAAGGCTACCGGCAGTCAGGATTGCCAATGATCAGGCAAAGCAAAATTCCCGCCAAACCGAAAATTCAAAGAAGCAATAAAGCTTTCTCTCTCTAGCAGCGCGAGTTTCTCTCTCTAGCCAAAAACATCAAAAACCAGGATCCTGAATTCATTCATTATTGTTATCATTTATTAAATTAAAGCGTTTTTTTTTTATCGAAAGTATTAGTGGATAACTGAAACAAAATTTTGTTTTAAGTGAAATATAAACATATAAAATTTTAAATTAAAACGATATATTTCTACAATTAAAAAAGAGTACTTCTACAAACTGCAGTATAAACCTATGTACATTTTGTTGCTACAAAACTGACCCTAATAGAAATACGCCTATAATCACGATTTCAAAACATCAGTTTGATTTTTTTTTTTAAAAAAAAATAAACTTTTAGCATACAAATTAACACTTTTTATTAAAAAAATTAGTTTAAAAACAATAAAAAAGCCATCCCAAATGAAATTTCAGGCTTCATTTGAAACGACTTTCTTAATATTTCTTAAAATAACTTTTTAATATACAAATGTTAAAAAAAAATTAATTTAAAAAACAATAAAAAAAATCATCCCAAATAAAGCCTCAGCTTCATCTTTAAAAGTTTGAATTTCAAAAATTATTACATTCAATTTTCTATTTGTTTCAATCATTCTCAATTGAAAATATTTTAAAATAAACATTTGAGATTTTAAGCAAAAACTATTAAATTTGAAATCAAATTACAACTCAAGAAATTTAATGGAACATCAACTTAAAATTCTAATAAAACTTTGACGAGAAATTAAACATTTCATTTAAAACCAAAAATTTTGGCTGCAGATCCAAAATAATACTACATAATATGTTAATACGTCACTGAAACTTCATTAAAAAGGCGCCTTTAGTCGGAAATCCTCTTTATAGCATCCTCTATTGCTGGGACAGCTTTAGCGAAGGCCTCCCACTGCTCCACAGATAGGCTTATACCTGAGAATACAAAAATAAATAAATAAAAACTAATAATAACGTCATTTGAACGTGCGTTTGAAAAATTTTCACAGAAAGGATACGACTGGAAGTTGGGAGACGAATATGAAAATGGGCACACCCTAAATAAAATAAAGAGAAGCTCATTAAGCTAATTAATAAGATTCGTATACGCAGCTCTTCTTGATCTGTTGGTTAGGAGTTTTAGCTGTCAACTAAGAGGTCTTGAGTTCGAATCTTGTGTATGTTAAATTAACATAATTGGCCTAAATGTCCAAAAAAAAAAACTCTGTGTGATTAAACTTCATATCAGCATGGAATGATTTCTCGTCAGGATTCATATTTGGAATCAAAGCACCTTACATTCAAAAAGAGAATTCTATTTCCTTCTCTATCATAATACGTTGTAATTACCATAAACTTTTTTTTTTTTTTGGGGGGGGTGGGGAATAATAATCATATATATACATATATCCTATTTATTAGAAATGATATCTCTTTATTAGATTTAAATAAAAATTTGATTATTAACATGACATAATAAAACAAAAAGATTCATATAGCCGAGCCCACCAAATGCGATCAAGATTTGATGTTGAAACCTAAAGAATCCTATTTAAATAGGAGTCCTCAGTAACAGACTAACATTATAGCAAATATCTAAAATAAAGCACAAATAATAATTTTTTAATTACACAGCTTCGGAATAGCAATAATAGCCAGCATAGAACATATAACCATGTCTCACATATAATATACGATTGCCCCATAACTTGAAAGCAACACAAATAATACTTCTTAAGTTTCAGAAGTAATTAGAATGTGCATTAGTTACCAATCATAAAACGATGGAGGATGTTTCAAATGAACCAGAGGAAGATATCGGTAGGGAGCATCAGTGATCTCATCTAGAAGCAATAGCATTAAGGATTGGCACTGAACATGAACTTCAACAAAAAAAGAAGTTTACTTACAGAGACATCAACAAGAAGTAGTGGAGGCTTTGAAGCTGCTCAAGAAAGAGACCACGAATATCTTTGCAACTCGATAAACTCTAGAAAGTGTAAGGTTCTTTCACAGTGGTGAATAAAGTAGGTAAAAAAATACAAAATTGATCTAATGTTCAGTTTTTAGTACGACGAAAGCAATATTTGAAATAGCATAATCAGGCAATAAAAGATGACAAGATGATCTGGAGGCATTGTGAGAGGAAAACTTCATAATCAAACCATGAAATTAGTTGACATTCTCTTTGAAATTGAAAGCAAGAGAGAAACTCTGAGGAAATTCGATTTCTGTTCATTTGAATTCAAATATTCAATTTCGCGGGTTCTCCGCAGGATTGAATGTCGTCGGAGACTCGCCGGCCAACTCCGGCCGGTGGTCCATCTGATGTTCATCGGTTGCCCACGAGATTTCGCATGTTCAAGCAAACATTTTCGTCATCCCCGCCGGCGTTCGGAGTGGTAAACTATGGTTTTGTTCAAGCTCAAAACACATATCAGAGCTTGTATGCCGTTAATCATTAATGAGGGTGTCTGTTAGCCTCGTCTAAGACAATACCGGTTGTCGTCGGCCAGTGGCGGACCGCCTTTTTTTAGGGTGGCAAACTCAATATATATAAAAATATAAATACAAATATAGATATATTTCACTAACAAAATTCAAAACAAAGCATTATATTTATCATAATTTTTTGAATATAAAAAGAAAATTACAAACTTTGCATTCTAACTTTGCATTTTCCTGATAATGTTGCATAATGGCTTTATTCGGAACAGAATCAAATACTTCTTTTTCAATATATGGCATAGACATCATTAAGCCAAGCATCGCCCATTTTGCTAACGAAGTCGATGCTTAATGATTTTCAATTGCAGAAAATGCTCTTTCCACCGTAGCAGTAGCAACTGGTAACGTCAGTGCAAAAACAATAAGTTTATAAACTAGTGGATACACACACATTTTTTTTATCCTTTACATCTGTTTTGCTAGAGCAGCAATGCTATTAAAGAGTAAACTCCTGCTAGTACGCATATACATAATATAAGTTGATAAGTTGATGCTCAAGAGACACAAGGTCATCATAGAGAATCTTGCTGCATATATTCTGCAAGACGAATTAATTTCCCTTATCATAAGCAGAAAACATATTGCTCGATTTAGACATTCAACAAAGAACTACGTGCATATTTCCTATGATGTTTGAGGGAAACAATGATTTTTTGGTTGATGCGCCCTTTTAACATATAAGCTCTACGAACTTTATCACGCTCATTCACATCATAACTCCATATGATCGTCGAAGGCCAGGGTCAGCTGGAAGATTGTTAATATCAATTTCGACACGTTCTTTTCGCTTCAAGAATCTTTCCATTTCTAGTAAACAAAGTAATAGACATAATAATGATAAATGATGATCAATGTTGGGAACTTTCATGCTATGAGAGTATATAGCACTTAGCCCGCAACAATTAAATCTTATTCTACTAATTCTAAACTCTTATTTCCTAAATATCAATATAATGATACAAACAACAACAACATCAAGCCTTTTCCCACCATACGTGGTGGTCGGCTACATGAATCCTTTTCTCACATTGTCGTCTATTAAAAGCCAATCTCGTTTAAATCTATAAAAGAAGGTCATTCTAATATTTTCTAACCAAGTCTTTTTAGGTCTACCCCTACTTCTTAACACAAGTCAAATCTAATACCTCTACTCTCTTCAATGGGATCGTGGAAGGCGCCTTTTATTGTGACAAACATCTAAGGCGACTCTCTCTAATCTTATCTTCTACTGGAGCTACTCCAACCTTTTCACGTATCTGCTCATTCGATCCTATCTTAAGGGTAAAGCCACTCATCCATTAAGCATCCTCATCTCTGCCACACTTACTTAGTATTATGCTTCTCTTTTAATGGCCAACATTCGCCACCAATAAAGCATTGCAGGCCTCACTCCATCTTATAGAATTTTCCTTAAGTTTGAGGGGTACATTTCTATCACATAACAAGCCCGATGCATTCGCCACTTCAACCATCCAACTTGAATTCTGCTGATAATATCCCATCTTATTCACCATCACTCTGAACAATAGATCCAAGATACTAAAACGTGTACTCTTATTAATGACTTGATCGCCCAAGTCACAATCCCTCACTAGGACTATTACTGCTAAAATTACACTCCATATATTCCGTTTTAGATCTACTCAAGCGAAAAACCTTTAGACTCTAAGGTTGACCTATCATAATTCAAGTTTACCTTCAACTCCCTCACTAGTCTTATCAAAACAAGGATATCATCAGCAAAAGCATACACCAGGTACATCATCTTGCAAATGTTCTAGTGAGAACATCCATGACTAAGCAAAATAGATATGGGCTTAAGGCTGATCTTGATGTAACCCAACCGAATAGGGAATACTTGGTCAAACACCTTGTGTTTGAACACAGTAATAGCTCCCTGCCATACAATTCTTTATGATTTGAATATAAGCATTATTGACTTTTCTTATCAGAAATTCTCCAATGATAAATGATGATAAAAAAAATCTCATTAAATGAACACTTCACTAGTTTCCCCCACCAAATTAATATGAAGAGAAAGATATATCAAAAAATAAAAAGCAAACCACCAATAAATAAATGATAAAAAAGCCAGGCAAGAAGGTCTGTACATAGCTGATCATCATACCACAATAATTAAAGATTATGAAGATATATATATATCAACGGACAACACATATTTGATATTTCTATCCAAACTTAAAAAGTTTCAAAATCTCATTACTCTTCACCCCATTGTCTCCCACAAAATACTTTAGTAGTTAGTATATCTGATATTTCTACACTTTTTCATTTTAGTTAGTATATCTGATGATAATTTTTTATAGTAGTTTTTTTTGTTCCATTCTAATCAAATCCAACAACAGGAAACCTAGCATAACTCAACAACAGGAAAATGACTGAATTAAAACCTCACTCAAATACTCAATTAAACTTCCTTAAATGACTGATTAAAACATAGCATAAAATAAACTCAACAACAGGAAAAATTTAAAAACTATTTTCATTCTAATCAAATTCCACCAAAAAAGAGGAAAATGCGGCCGATTGGCGAGTTACCTTGACGTTGTGAGCACGAATGGCGAGCCTAGCGGCGAGCAAGGCAAACTAACATCTGCTTCAAGCCTTCAACCGTTTAAATCGACTTAAATCGGAAGAACCGCAGAAGAGGCGACCAATGCCGGCGAAGACGAAGTGCGAATAGAAGGAAAACGATGCCGGCGAAGACGAAACCTGCGGAGACCGGGAGACGTCGAGGCGAAATGTCGAATGCTTGAGATTTGCCGAAGAAGAAGCCCGACTGTCGAGCGGAGACGAGAGCTATGCACGGGATTTTGCGAAATATGCAGCGGCTGGAATAGCGACGTGGGCAGGTGCTACTAAGATTAGGGCAAAATTTTATTTTCAGGGTGGGCAAATTACCAAAATTGCCCCTCATGTATTTTTTTTTTTTTTTTTGGGGTGTTTTTTTTTTTTTGAGGGTGGGCATTTGCCCACTCTGAGTATACCGTGGGTCCGCCCATGTCGTCGGCAAAGGAAAAGAATTGATGACTGAAGAATGTTAATTTTCATTTGGAAAATGAAAATTTTCCCTCTCTGAAGAAAAATGAAGACGTGCTTCTGTTTGGAAAATCTGCTGTGAAAATCAATGAAGGAAATAATATGGAGATGAAGAATTATTCTGGTTTGCAAGGTTCTGCTGAAGAAGATATTGGAGGAAACAATTCAAGTTTGCAAAGTACTTTTTTTCCTGTTGGAAATTCTGTTGAAAAATCAGCGGCTGGTTGCTCTGATAATGGAATGCTGAATAACTCTGATTTAATTAGAGTTCGTGAATGTAATCCAGGAGAATTGGGAATGTGTAAGGATTCTATGAATGTGATTAATGCTAGACCGACACCTTCTTCCCAGCAAAATGCGTGGAGCAAAAAGGAACACATTAAGGTTCATAATGTGGACCTTGGTGATTTTCGTTCAGAAGATGGTTCTACTATGAAATTGCATATGGCAAATGAGTTAGAAAACTCTAGAAAGCTTCAAAACTCCCTAGTTATAAGAGTGTTTGGTAGCAATGTTCCTTTTCCGGTGATAAGCACTGAATTAAGAAGGCAATGGCCCCCTTTGGTAAATTTCATCTCAACATGCTTGAATTGGAATGGGTTCTTTGCTCATTTCATGAAACATCAACACTGGAAGCTGTATTTTCAAATGGGCCTTGGTTTGTCAATGGAAAGATAATTGGGATGGATAAATGGTCGCCTATCTTCTCTCCTTCTTCTTTAAAAGGTTTATCAGCTCCTATCTGGATTAGGATGCCTAACCTTCCTTTACAATGTTGGGAAGAGATCAACATTTGTAGAATTGCTTCGATGATTGGCAAGCCTTATATGATTGATGGGAACATGTTCCAATGGGGGAGAAGGGAGTTCGGTAGGGTGTGTGTCCGCATCAATTTGGATACACAATTACCTCTTGGTGTTTGGGTGGAAGGTTGTAATGGTAGATTCTTTCAAAAAATTGAATATGAAAGATTACCAAATTTTTGCTTTGCTTGTGGCAAAATTGGTCACCTAAAAACTGGATGCCTTAAAAATGATTTGAAGAAGGATTCTCTATAGAATATTGCTGGGAACAATGAAGCTGTGAATTCATCTATTCAATTGGAGACAGGAATTTCAGTAAAGAAAACCATATCAGATGATATATCTGCTAATGTTTCTCAAAATGGTTATGGGCCTTGGTTGCAAGTCAGCTATGGAAGAGGAAGATACAGAAATTATGGCTTTAAGAAGAATATCCCGCGGGCAAAGGAGCAATGGGTAAACAAAAAAACTGGTAATAATGCTTTTCCAAGAATTGAACCTATTATTACAGATAATGTTACTTTGGTGCAGGATCTTGCAAAAAGAATAATTTTGCTGAAGAAGTTATTGTTGCTGAGAAGCTGACTCTGCTAGAGAATCCAGAAATTTTAAATTCAGCCATTGCAGAGAATGGTATGGCTTCCTTACCTTCTAATATTGCAAATACTAATAAATTTAGTATATTAGATGGGTTGGTAGAAGAAGGTGAGATA